GCAGCAACAACAGCAAATAATAATACAACAACATGAAACAAATTAAAGATTGAAAGCAGAGTGTGAGGACCCCCCTGAGTATGGCACTCTGACTGTACAAACCTCATACTCATGAAACTGGTGCCACCTTCAAGATGGTCTACCTAGGGTCAGACCTGGCTTTGTCATTTCCTAGTCATGTGACCCTGGATGAGCCATTCATAAAGCAGGGACAGTTAAGAGTGTCGACCTCATTGAGTCTTTCCAGGTTGAAATTAGGTATTATCTGAACAGCGTTTAAAATACCTGGCATACAACAAGCACTACATAAATGTTTATACACTTGCTAACAGACAGACCTAAGCATCTCAAAAGACTAGAGACAATTACAGCCATGGCACTGGAAATAAATTTAATTCTTTTTAATGTTTGAGAATTGGGATTCCTAATCAACGCTTTTATAACTACAGCCCTGGTCATTTTAAAATTTATTTTAACCAAACAGACTTTAAAAATACTGTCTGGATACTGGCCAATACCACATAAAGCAAGACTGAAGAATGAAGAAAGACATTTGTTTGTGGCCAGAGATCTAGAAGCCTGTGGAGTGTAAACTGTCATGAAGCCAGTTTAACAAACTGCTTCCTTTAGGCTGTGATAGCTCACTGGGGACATCACTGCTTCCACACAAGGATTAAAGCCTGACATGTCTGAACAGAACCAAAGGAACACCTTGTTCTCTCTCTCCCCTCTCCCTCCCCACTTCCTTGTGCCCAATTCTTTATGTAGTTGAGGCTGGCCTCAAACTTGGTAGGTAGTCAAGGATATCCATGAACTCCTGACCTCCCTCCCTCTATCTCTGAGTGTATAATCATATGCTAGAACAATACCTACTCTCCAAACCAGCTTATCCTGTCCTTTTCTTTTTATAATGCAGAATCCTTTTGTTTTATTTAAAGCTGTAAAACAGGAAATGTTACTAAACATACAAACTCTATATTTAGGCAGAGAAAAAACAAAACTTAAAAAGGCAAAACAAAACAAAAAAAAAAACCCCAACAGGGCTATAAGAGTCAAAAGAAAACCCACAAGCAGTGTTACACATTTTTATTTAGAAAAATGTGTTAGTGTGCAGAGATATCTATTTGCTGGGCGCTCTGTGATAATGTTTGTCTTTCTTCATTGTGTTGTCTGCACCCTTTAAACTCTTCACCATTAATAATTCTTTGGGCTTTTGGAAAACTTTACAATAAAGACAGAAATTATAGTAAACATTATTGGTAATTGTAAAATTCTCAAGACTCTGAAGTTGCTATTTGTCAAACAATTCGCCCAAGGTACACAGATTTAGGGTACTTCTCCTTGAGAGCTGGCCACTGAACAATGAAGTAATCAGAGAGATGAAGGAGAATCTTTCCAGACAGGGATAAAGTTTCCACTCGGCAGATGCTCTCAACGTAGACAATGATCACTTTCTTTATTCCAAGTATCCCAAGGAACAGGGCAGACACACAGATGGGAACACATGTTCCTGGTCCATTACACAGCACCTTAAAAAAAAGTCAAAATATAGAACATTGTCTTTAGTGGACCATTCTGAATTTAAAAACACCCTAATTTTTGGGGATTTATTAATCCAGTTAAATCTTTCTTGCTAAGAACACACTGATGTTACAGTGTGTACTGAAGGCTCTGTACCCAGAAGTCCTGTGGAACTTTTATGCCTTGGCTTTCCTGCTTCCCAGCTGTGTGACTTGGGGGAAACCACCTAACTTCATCATCATCCTCTCTCTCTCCCCAAGTGTGTATGAGCGAGCGTGTGTGCGTGCGTGCGTGCGTGCGTGTGTGTGTGTGTGTGTGTGTGTGTGTGTGTCTTATGCTCTCTCGTTCATGTACATGGAGAGGCCAGAGGTTGACACTGGGAGTCTCCTTTTATTGTTCTCCACTGTATTATTTGAAACAGGGTCTCTTGCTGAATCTGGGGCCTGCCATTTTGGCTAAGTGGCTGGCTAGCCCTGGAGTCCTATATCTGATTCTCTCCACTCACCAATGCAGGGCTACAGACTCCTGTGGCTTTTATGTAGGTGTTGGATATCAAGCTCAGGTGTTCCCCCCTGTACGGCAGGCACTTAGCCCACCAAGCTATCTCCAGGGCACCACAAGTGGTTTAACTTCCAACTTCTAACACAGTGGTTGGTTGCTCACTACTCACTGAATGGAATATTTGACTTTTCTTGGAGCCTTATGAATCTTCATTGTCCCACAATACAGAGAAAACAGAAAAACAGACAACTGTCTACAATCCATTCAGTTTTTTTTCTACTTACATTTTTTTTTTTTAGGAGAAATGTCACCTTTTTTTTTTAAAAGATTGATTTATTTATTATGAATACAACACCCTGCCTCCATGTACACATCAGAAGAGGGCACCAGATCTCGTTACAGATGGTTGTGAGCCACCATGTGGTTGCTGGGAATTGAACTCATGACCTCTGGAAGAGCAGTCAGTGTTCTTAACCTCTGAGCCATCTCTCCAGCCCTACTTACGTGTTTTTAATGTTGAAGGAAATGCTTTCAATGACTATGATATGGTATCTCTTGGGGCTCCAACCCCACAATCAGGACATTCAATAGAGGGCTACCACATGAAGCTTTTTTTCCCCCTCAAGAAAACTGAATCTGTGTTTGTAACACAACTCTAGTATTTCTGGAATTCTGCTAATATCTGCAAAGAGCCACCAATTTTAAACAAATTTAGTCTAACAATTGAAATAACAATTCCAATCACAGAGCAACTGCAAATAATTTTTATTGGTCTTTGAAGAAATGAGGAGTCTTATTTCATAGACTTATTAGCAAGATAATTTATTACTATTTGAGAGGAAAAATGTATTATACAATATCTTCCTCATATGCCCATACTGACTGAATTAGTAAAACCCAATAAATCATTTGACTTCCCAACTACAAAACAGGAGGCTTGTAGTTGTCTACACATGCCTGTTAGCATTGTGCACAATGTCACGTGATCCTTCCAAAACCAAATCCACTAAACATCAGAGAGTCTCCCAGTGGGATGGGTCTTCAGACACAGGGTTGAAATTCTTGCAAAATAGGGACTCTCACCTGGATGGACAGCCTGCCTCCAGGTGAACATGGCTAAGGTCGCAAGGGTCGTCTTGCCTAGCTTCATCCTTTCTGCCCCCATAGCCACCTAGACACCACTCACTGAACCCTCTCTGCCAGTTCTCAGGTGCGTGTGTATGCGTGTGTATGCATGTGTGAATTTTTTCTTAGTTTGTGTCTCTCACGAGAACTTTTCATTTAGAATGTCTCTTGGGTTAGCAGTGACTAAGCGAAGCCAAGTCCAGCCCTTCGTCTCCATTACATTAACAGACCCCCAAAGCAGTGTGCAAACACAGGGACCCAAGACTGGGCAATGGCCATAGCTCTCACCACCACCATTAACAACTCACTGTGGCCACAGACCACACCGAACACTCACACACAAAATGCTTTAATTATTACTCACAGCAATCATTTGAGAGAGGTTAAACTATCTTTTCTTGTAGATAAGAAGGCAATCTGCTTGATCACAGGTTTAGGAGGGAGAGACCCTATATGGTTTCAGGCTACATTTTTCTTCAGTTATCATCCTAGCTTAAAAACAAGAAAACCAGGCTAAGTGATTGTCAGCCCCACAACTCCAGGCTGCCTCTACTGTGTTCAATACCCACACACTCACTCGGAATCCTCTCTAGACTTTAGAGTGCCCCCTCCCCGTGGTGGGGCCAGCCCTGGGCATCACAGGATGGTCAGAAGCATCCTTGGTCTCTGTCTACAAGACTTTTGTAGTCAAGACAACCAGAAAGGACTTGAAGCATCTGCCACATCTTTCTAGGTGACAGCCACTATTAAAATGCTTCCTAATCCTTGGGCTGTTTGTAACAATCTTGCTTCACATGTCAATCCCAGCTCCCTCTCCCTCCCCTTCTCCCACCCCCTCACCAGGTCCCCCAGCTCCCAACCCAATCCCCACTCCGATGCCCAGGGAGGGTGAGGCCCTCCATGGAGGATCTCCACAGTCTGTCATGTCATCCAGGGTAGAGGCTAGGCCCTCTCCCAAGAGTCCAGGCTGAGAGAGCATCCCTCATTGTGGGATGGGCACCCAAAGTCCATTTGTATGCCAGGGATAAATAGTACCCAAGGCCCCATAGATTACCTAGGCCTCCTCACTGACACCCACATTCAGGGGGTCTGGATCAGTCCCATGCTGCCCTCCCAGCTATCAGTCTGGGGTCCAAGAGCTCCCCCTTGTTCAGGTCAGCTGTTTTTGTAGGTTAAACCAGCCCAGTCTTAACCCCTTTGTTCATCAGGTCCCCCCTTTCTGTCACTGGATTCCAGGAGTTCAGTTCAATGTTTAGCGACACAGAACATTTTAATATGTTGTTTTTTAAAAAACATACATATCCACGTGTGTTCATGTCAACATCCGGCTGACTGCATACAGGTGACAAATACATAAATGACTGGGAACTAGTGAGAGCCGCCTACACAACCTGCCATGGAGGGTAGGAGGGGCTGGTAAATGTGGAAATCAAAGGCATTTGTGTCTTGCCATTCTGTATCTCCGCACTCTGAGGCACTGTATGTAAAAGGCACAGGGACAGCAAAACGACAAAATCATAAATCAACAAGTCAGAGGGAAGCACGCACATACGGGCCCAGGATAAAGTTATGACGCAGTGTGTGCAAAGTCCTGGCTCTGACCTCAGGCTCAGGGTAAGAGAGGTAAAAGGGGGAAGGCAAACTAATCTCAAGGAAAACCACGTTTAATTAAGCACATACTTTAATTCTGACTTGCAGCAGCCGAGATTTTTTTTAAAAATGTGGATTATGATTTTATTATTCTAAGAAGCATACCAGATAGACTTACTCCAGGCACTGGGGGAAAAAGGAAGTTACCAAGAAGCCTCGTGTTAAACAGCGTTACTGTAACAACAACTGAAAACCCAAATCCTCAGTGCGCATGCGCTGTATCCCTGCCCTATCCCTTTCTCCCTCACCGTCCTGAAAACTGTACCGGCACAACTTACTCAGAGCAATCTACAGTCTGCCACTGAACAGCGTGGTCTGCAAGGAAAAGAGGAGACAGGAGCAAGGGGGTAAGGAAAGAGAGTGACGACTCTATGCGGAGCCTGTGTGGAGTCAAAGGCTCCCTTCTGGTGACTGTCCACCTGACTGAACATACCTAACTATAAATTTACACTTACGTGGCTGGCCAATTAATGGCTGCCACCCATAGCTTTTCCTTTTCCTTCCACACATCTTTACCCCTCCCCCCAAGTCCTCTCAGACACTCTCTTCACTTCCCTACCTACCCAACTTTATGTTCTTTCTCTCTTTAAAAAACAAACAAAATGAAAAAGCAAGAAACACCCCCCATAAAAGAAAAAAAAAGCCAAACAAAGCAAAACGTCTACAAAACTATTACTGAGTTCATTTTATGTTGGCCAACAGGCAGCATGTGTCACCTTTCTCTCAGGAGCAGCAGAATATCCTTCACTCCCGACTCAAGTGTTTGAATGAACCTATACCCAGCTATAAGGAAGGGACGTATAAATCCTGTCTGTACAGAGCACTGGCTTCTGCCAAATGCCACCGGCTCCAGGAAGAGCACACAAGACAGGCAGCGGACACCTGACGGGCCTGCTGAGTGCAGAGTCTTCTTTCTGTTCATTTCCTTTCTCTTTTGAGACAAGGCGTGATACAGTCCTGGCTGTCTGGCCTGGGACTTATTATACAGCCTAGGGCAGCTTCAAACGTGTGGTTATCCTCCTGCTCTGTACTGAGACTGCAGGTGAGGTCCACCGTGCTTGGGTGGAGCAGGGCTTTCTCTACTGTTCTGGAAGCCAGATGTGTGTGGACTTGGGACTCTTGACATCTAGCTTGCTGTCATGTGGGGAATTTGAGAATAGAGCCGTGAGCTGAGAGAGAAGAAGGAGGGCCAGGTTCCTTTTGAAGACACGAATCCAGCTGTACCTGAAGGAAACCAGACCTTTCCCTAGGCTTACTTACCAGGTATGCGAGGGGATACAGTCTATCTTTGCTTAAGCAAGTTTCCATCAAAATTTCTGTCACTGGCAATAAAAAAGCATACTAACTGACACAATCCTTTATTTTGTCCAACTTTCTAACTAGCCTGGCCATTGGCAGTGCCAAGCAGGTGCTCACTGTGTACCTGGTATTGAATTACCAAATCAATAAATCACTGTGAAAACAGGAAGTCTGAGAGATGTCACTAAAGGTAATATATGCCATAGATCTAGAAAACAGCAAGAGGCCAGGCCACTGTACATCCAGTCAGGAGGGGAAATGTACCGGCCCAGGACCAAGAACAGTCATAACAGGCTTGTTGTTCTGGACATTTGGGACACACAGAGATCAAGCCCCACTGACTGAAACATAATGCCTGCATGTACGAAAAGACATGTTTAACTTCCTCATTTTGAACTTAACTCCCAGCTCAGCAGGAATCCCCTCTCACCCCTGAACTTGGAGTGGAGACACTTGGGGTTGGTTGGTTATAAGTCAGGGACATGCGGTGTAGGCTGACCCAGGACAGGGCGTGGGTGTTGGTTATAGGTCAGAGACACTTGGCTGAGGTTGATCCTGGACGGGAAGTAGAAGGTGAGGCTGGAAGTCAGGCAAAGGCTTCACTCTTTTTTTCTAACATATATACTTTTAACATTATTTATTCCTGGGGAATTTCACATTATGCACCCTAACTCCGCTTACCTCCTGGTCCCCCTATATCCTCCTCTTACTCCCAGAAGAAAATTAAAAAATCAAATAAAAACAAAACAAAGCAAACAAACAGAAACAAGAACAAAACAAAAAATAAACAAAAACCCCAAAATACAAAAACCTAAACTAATTAAAAATATCTTCCTTTTTCCCTCTTTCACACATCTCCAACACCTCTCCATTTGTCCTGGTGGCTTCGGGAGCAATGTGTCACACAGTACATCCTTTGTCCAATAAGCTTAACTAGCAAATATTCATTACAATGAGGCACTTCTGGTTCAAGGCCTCTGGTTTGTGGTACACCATCATCACTGAATCCTCACTGGAACTCCTCTGGGATATCCCTCAGCTGCCCGAGTTGTGGAGACTCTGTTGGTATAGTTCCACAGGACCAGCCCCTTCATAAGCTCCAGCAGGTCCCAGATGGGGTAGATGCTAGGGTGGGCCAACTCAAGGCCTAGCTGTGGGCCTGGGTAGTGGCTGAGCTGGTCATTTGGGCCACTGGGGCCACAAGCCTCAGGTAGGGTGGGGGCTGGGGTGGATATGAAGCCAGCTACCCTATGCCCATGCCATTAGGGTCAGTTTACCATCACCTGTGGTGAGAGGTGGGGCCATCTTTCCCCAGGGCAGGGATCAGCTCTCCTGTGAGGGTCAGGGCCAGTTCTCTTGCTTCAGTGTCCATTGAGAGGCAGGGCCAGCTTTCCCAGGGTCAGTGAAGGGCGGAGGCAGCCCAGCAAGGCGCACATCTTTAATCCCAGCTCTTGGAAGGCAGAGGCAGGCGGATGTCTGTGAGTTTGAGGTCAGCCTGATCTACAGAGTACCAGGGTAACCAGAGCTATTACACAGAGAAACTATGTCTTGAAAAAAACAAAACAAATTAAAAAATGACTGGAGAGGCGAGGTGTGGTGGTACGCACCTTAAATCTCAGTTCTTGGGAGGCAGAGGCAGGCACATCATATCCCTGTGAGTTCAAGGCCAGTATGGTCTACATAGCAAGTTCCAGGACAGCCAGGGCTACATAATGAGACCCTGCCCCAATACATACATACATACATACATACATACATGCACGCATGCATACACACAAACACAGTTTTAGCTCATTTCTAAAATCTGACTCTGGTAGCAAGCCGTCTCTATTTCTCATAGCACAGGAGACACTCTTTCTAGGCCCCCTTTGCAGATGACAGATGGGCCAGATGTGGCGTCCATCGACCAGGAGCAGGGCTGGAGGGGATTCTGTTCTAGGATCAAAGGTGCCACTGGCCGAGGCCAGCCCCCAGTGTCTGTAGAACCAGCCCCAGCATAGGTCCACCTGCTCGGCTCCCACTCCATCCCTCTGTTTTCTGTGGCTATTTCCTTAGAGCGCCGCCAATCTTAAAGTTCTCAGTAACATTTCTCCAAATTCTCTTTTACAGTCAGTCAGAATGGATGGCAGTTTGCTACAGAAAATGCTAGCTAGTCTGAAAGGAACAAGGACTTTGAGACCAGCAAACGCAGAGTCCAAGTGCCAGAAGGCATCGTAATAGCTGTGACTTCCTCAGGCAGGGCGGAAGCACTGGCCCACTGCACAGGTAGGTCAATGGAGAAACGCCTATGAGGCTTTGCTGTAAGAAGAGTAGTGCAAGTGTCCCAGGTACACAGAGAAAAATAAACAAAAAGCCGTATACAGGACATGAGGAGGGTAAAAGCAGCCACACAGACATGTCAGAAAATTGAAACAGATGCATCTGAGACAGCCAGGGAGGAAGAAAGATGTCACCACGGGTTGGATGGACTGGACAACGGAGCGGCCCGGAAGACTGGGGTGAAGCCTGAGGAAGGGTGGTGCTGAGTTTGCACCGTCAGTTGTATGGACAGCAGACAGCAAAGGGATGTGTGGCGGACAGGATGATGTACGCACTTGGCTCACATTATGGTTATCATGTTTCTTCTCTCTTACATTTAGTCATCTGAGTGGTCACAGACAGAAACGTCTAAATAGCGGGACCAGTGTGGAGTAACTGCGTAAATCCTAAAGGCTCAACTCAGTTTATAAACCTCAAGGTCTCTCCCAGGTCTGCTGCTAACAGACCATCCATTGTCACCATGAACAATGAACTCTACATGTCCGTGCGGAACTAATCTCCCCAGGTTTCTGCACTGACATCTGGTGCTGCAGTGCAGTCCCTCCAACTACTTTTGTTTTTGTTTTGTAATTCATATCTGCTGATTTCTACCATGTTGACTTTAAAAATGGCATTCAACAGACCAGAGAGAAAGGAGCCAGTGGTTTCAAGCCAACTCCCAAGTCCACCACCTGTCAGTCCCTTCCCTAGTTCTTTTTACCCAGACATAACTTCCACAGTTCTTTTAAGCCTTGTCAAAATGTAAGCAAGTCACAGGCTCTATCTAAGCTGCTGTGCCAATGCTCAACTGTGGCCCTGTTGATCTGGGTGGCCTGATATGGGGCCACGGTGTCATCTGAGCCCAAGTTGCAGCTGTGGGCCATGTCTATGTCTGTGGCCCAGCAGCAGCCAGGGTCTGGCTTAATGTTCTTGGCTCCTGTCATCACCAGAGGCTGAGCAGATGCCTGGGGTCTGGACAGTCCCCTGAGACCATGTTGGTGTCAAAGGTCCTTCCTGCCACTGGGGCCATACTGATCTGGGAGGCCTGTGCTGCCATCGGGGCCATGCATCAGTGATGCCTGGACCCGAGCTGCAGCTGAGGACATGTCTGGGTCAGTGTTCCTGCTGCAGCTGGGGTCTGTGATGATGTCCATGGTCTGTGTTACCGCAAGGGGTAACAGGAACCATGCATGTTGAAATTGGAGAGCTGAGATGAGCCAGCCTTACCCCTCCCTGTCCCTGCCCCTCACTAGACACTGCAGCAGGAGAGCGTCCCTGCCCCGCAGATGGCTGCAACCCTTAATACAGGAGTGGGAGAGCTGGCTCTGATGGCATGGGCCTAGAACATTTGGCTCTGCCCCTCACCTGAGAGGGCTGGTCCTAGTGTTTCTGATGTAAAACAGCACAAAAGGAACATTGCAGGTGATAGCAATTATATAGTTCAAAATCACTACAGGAGAGTATGATGTATTGCTTTCCAGCACATGAAAATTAACAAAGTAACAGGATCATTATACATTGCATATCAACTTACGATGAATGAGGAAAAACATCATATATCTAATTGTTTTAAGAAGACATTAGATAATAAGGTGCTTATGGGCTAGGGCTTGGCAATCATGCTAACCTGGATTGGCTGCTGAATGGCACTGTGACCTGGGACAATAGCTTTACCTGTCCCATGTCTCAATTTCCCCATTTACAAATTCACCCATTCAAACAGTGTTTTATTAAGCAAAGGTAACATGGCAGGTGTGTTCTGGCATTCAGGACGCATGTATTAGTGAATGAAAGTCCTGTTTTCACAAAGGTCACATTCCAGACAAGAAATAAAAAGATACACATAAGGGACTGGAGAGATCTGTGTATGATGACAACATCCTCCAGACCTAGGGCTGCACTGTTTAGACATTTCATACTTGTTGAACACTATTCTCCATCTGTAAGTACAAAGTAAGTAAAGGAGCTGAGAAACTGTCAGTGCCCACACTCTGGGCTTTTCATTTCCTGCAATTGCTAAGACTTAGAACAGACAGACAAACCCAGCCACATGTCCACCAGTGATGAACCCGGCTTCTGGCCTCCTGACTGTTTCTGCTATCAGTTGAGGAAACAGAATCTTGTAATTTTCCTGTTCTCTGTACAAATGGACCAAAGGGTCAACTTCCTGCCTTCTCAGCCTTTTTAGTTTTCATTGTATTTTCAACCCACTGAAACATTTTCAACAAGTTCTTTAAAGGCCACGGGTCCAGTGTTCGCCTTCTGTTCTCTCTCTCTCTCTCTCTCTCTCTCTCTCTCTCTCTCTCTCTCTCTCTCTCTCTCTCTCTCTCTCTCTCTCTCTCTCTCTCTCTCTCTGCCATCTAACACACAACCTGACATAAACAACCAAAAGGAGGGAGGATTTATCTTCCTCAAGGTTCCAGTGGGTCCCCTCCATCATGGCAGAAGACATGCCAGAGCAGGGCTCTTCCGCCCAGCAGAGTAAAAGGGATTAGAAGATGGGTAGAGCATCCCATTCTTCAGTGACTTGGTGATAGCCCTACCTCCTGCTTTCCAGTCATTCCCAATAAAGCCACCATATTTGTGGTGATATTTTCTTTATGATCTAACAAATAAAGCTTGCCTGAAGATCAGAGTGCAGAGCTAGCCACATTGGTTAGCCATGGAGGGTAGGCAGTGGTGGCACACACCTTTAATCCCAGGACACCTTGAGCTACACAAAATGGAATGTCTAAAAGAGAAAAAGTGCTTACACAAAGATTTCTCAGTACTTGGGATCTCACCCCTTTAGTCCCAGCACGAGGGAGGAATGTAAGGCGGGATTTGACAGGAGCAGGCTGAGTGGCAGAGAGCTGCGCAGGGTGCAGTCATGCTGAGGACAATGGCCCCCTTTGGTCTGAACATTGGCAGAGGTGAGAACTCTAGTGGCTGGCTGCTTTGTTTTTCTGATCTTCAACTTTAATCCCAATATCTGTCCTCTGGGTTATTTATTATCTGTGCTACACATATTATGACCTATTGAGATATTAATCAATTCATTAAATCAAGAGTCAGGGGGTAGGGGCATGACACGGTTTGAGACAGGGTTTCTCTGTGCAGCCCTGGCTGTCCTGGAACTCGCTCTGTAGTTCAAGCTGGCCTCGAACCCACAGAGATCTACCTGCCTCTGCCTCCCAAGTGCTGGGATTAAAGGCATGCTCCGCCAATGTCCGGCAAGTCCTCATTCTTAATGGTCTCTGGACACACACTCACCAACAAGTACAGAGGTATTTAGGCATGCACTGTCTCCCAGGAATTTCCCAATCCAAGCAAGCTGACAGTCAAGATCTGCAGTAAAGCCTTTCTGCAGAGGAATTAGGGAAAGGGTTAACACTATTAAATAGAAAGGGAATAACCCTTCTAAATGAGAAGAACTGGCTTCAGTTCAAGGTAATTATACAACTCCTGGCTCTTGTCCAGGCCTTCTCGTAAGCAGGTAAGTGATAGCTTCCCGTGACACTTCCTCAATTTTTGTTTGAATTCCTGCGCATTAAATTTCTATCTTGCTGGACTGAAAAATCAGCCTGAAGTTTTCCTTAAATATTATATATGCAAACTAATTCTGTATTTTAGAGAAAACATAAGAACTTTTATATCTGATTCCCTAATTCTAAGACAAAAGGATACATAAAAACACTGATATTGCCCCCACCGTGTGTGTGTGTGTGTGTGTGTGTGTGTGTGTGTGTGTGTGTGTGTGTGTTTGGGGGTGGAGAAAAAAGAGAGAGAGTTAGAATTGGAGACCAAGAAACAGACAAAGCAGAATTTGACCCAGATCAACAGCTGTGCTCTTGTATTAAACAGCACAGTACTCTGGACAAAGTGAAGACTGGGAACCTTGAGTGAATGGCTAGAATCCTCTACAGAGCATGAAATTTACTCTGTGCGTTCAGGTTCTGAAGAGTAGTTTTCTTTTAAAAGGTGTCTGTGTATTTTCCAGCATCCCGCAACGATGCACTGATATCCGGTAGCTCAACAGTGTCTCTGAACCTGCTCTTGACTTCAAGTTTATCTGAATGATGCTGTCGCCTGGCTGCACTATGACTTCTTCCTGCTGTAGACTTAACGCAGAGCACTAGCAGGACCGGTTAATCTCCACATCATCAGTTGATCTCCACAGCATTCGGAGATGACCTCACTGAAACTACTGAGTAGAAGAGCAGTTCCACGCTAGTGGTTCTGAGGTCTCCAAACTGCATCCACCCAGGGATTCTTATTTACAGTGTAGAGTCTTTCTAAACTGCAATTCCCGAGTCTAAGGCCAGGAATATGCACTTTCAGCTACTCCCCGATGATTTGGTGTACATCAGCACTTTCTCCTCCATGAGAAGAGACACTACAGGCTCTCAGTCTTCAGGTATGGCACGGAAGCCTACATTCAACCTTACAAGAGGGTCTGTGTGTGTTAAAGGGAAATTGAGATGGTGAATTAGTCACTTCTCCATCACTGCCAGAAGACACCATGACCAAGGCAACGTACCAAGAGGATAGAGCCCATCATGGCATCAGGTGGCAGATATGGTAGTAGAAACAGCTGAGAGCTTACTCTTGAACCACAAATGGAAGGCAGGGAGAACTAACTCAAAATGACACAAGCCTGTAAAGGTCAAAACCTGCTCCCAAGGACACACTTCCTCTCAAGAAGCCACGCCTCCTAAGCCTCCCTAAACAGTGCCACTAACTGGGAACCAGGCATTCATTCAAACGCCTGACACTAGAGGGACATTGCTGTGGTCTTACTAGGTATGGCCCCATAGACTCATGTGTTCCAAAGCTTCATCCACACGGAGTGGCACCATTAGAGGGACATTGTTGTGGTCTTACTAGGTATGGCCCCATAGACTCATGTGTTCCAAAGCTTCATCCACACGGAGTGGCACCATTAGAGGGACATTGTTGTGGTCTTACTAGGTATGGCCCCATAGACTCATGTGTTCCAAAGCTTCATCCACACGGAGTGACACCATTAGGAGGCTTGGCCTATTGGAGTAGGTGCGGCCTTGTTGGAGGAAGTGTGTCACTAAGGTTTGGGATTGGAGGTCTCAGAAGCTCAAGCCAGTTCTCTGCCTGCTGCCTGTGGATCCAGATGTAGGACTCTCAGCTACCTCTTCTGCACCATGTCTGCCTGCACACTGCCCTGTCCCACCATGATGATAATGGACTGAACCTCTAAAACCGCAGGTCAGCCCCCAATGAAATGTTTTCCTTTACAAGAACTGCTACGGTCATGGTGTCTCTTCACAGTAATAAAACCCTAACTAAGACAAAAATCAATCATTCAAACCATCACAGGTGTGTACTGGAGAGCCACCCAAAGCCATTCGGTCTCTCCTCCTGCTCAGCAACCCCATGGGGACAAACAATCTAGCTGAACAACTATAGAGACTCAACAGCAGAGGAGGTTCAGTCAGAAACCCCTCCCTCTGTCAGTTGGAGTCAGCTGCCTCTTAGAAAGCAAGTGTTCCTAGAGGGGATGGTTATCCTAAGGCCTCAGAGTTTGCTCCATAATTACCCAAAAATACTTTTTAAAAGGTGGTGGCATTCAGAGAACAGGCAGACAGGGTACAAGATGGTGTTAATAAGATGCCATACCCCTGGGTTTTCCCAAGCTCCCCTGGCAGCTGTACCCTAGCTTCTGGTGCCCTATCCCATCCCTTCTAAGAGCATGCGGGGATGGTTTGCTGCCCATGCTTGGCAGCATCACAGCCTTGGACTTTGGGGGTTTTATGGTTAGGTAGGCAGGGCCTCACTGAGGCGGGGTGCTCAGGCTATCAGCGGAACAGAGAGGTTCCTGTCAGAGCAGACTTTTAAAGGCATGGGCAGCAGGTTTAAACTTACTCAACAAGTAATTTGGGAAAGAACTTGCATGACCAAAAGCCAAAGTTTCTTTAAAAAGAAATTTCCAGCCACTGTGAGAATTCTATACCTCTAGAGTATCTTTCCTGTTTCTTGACACACATTTCTGCCTGGTGATTATCTGAAGCACTGATATGCCATGCAGGAAAGGCTGGGAACACTTTGGAGCCGACTGCTTAGAGCCTGGCGTGGTCACTCTGTGACTTGAGGCAGTTATTTTACCTCTGCTTGCTTTCTCACAGGTAAAAGGAAGAGTGAGCAGGGCCTCTCCCACTGGGTCACAGTGAAGATTACGTGAGGAAAAGCCTGGAAGGTTTTCATCGCTGCAGCTACCAGAGGACGGGCCTTCAGGCTCAGGGAAGAGAAGCCCTGTGGCATATGCACAGCTGCTGGTCTTTCCACAGAGCCTCTTTTGATTGAATTAGCCCTCCCTCCTCCCTCCAGGCCAGCCGAGGGCACTGCTGGGCCACGGGCCAGGCATCTTCCACTGGGGCACTGAGTTCTCAGGTTCTCTTGAAGCAGTTTTTAAGGAAAAAAAAAAAAAAGAGGTAGAGATAATAATAATAATAAAAGCAAACCCCTATTTTTGTGTGGTTCAGCTAAGAAAGCCAACAATTAAACCATGCAATTTATTGGTAGGATTTCTCAGGGTAAGACTTAAAAGTCTGCTACGAGATTTAGACAGTTCATTAGGGTGTAAAATGGAATGATCTTATCCATCCAGGATTAAAGCACACTTCCTGAGTGTGACAGAGCGTTTCCAGGGAGAGTAAGTGCCATGAAGTCTTCGATCCGCTTGCCCACTGTGGCTCACAATTCCTACTCCACTGATGTCTAACCCATTCAGCCGTCCCTGCCCACCAGGGTGTGAGGTTTTGAAACTGAGAGCTGGGCCTGGAAACAGAAAGAGGCTCCCTCTGGGTACAGGAAGCGATGGCAGTGGGAAAGCATGAAAGAGGCCAGAAGCAAGTCACTTACATGGGCAACAGACACAAACTCTAAACTCAACGTTAACGATAAGCCAGTGTGTTAAAAAGCCAAGCTGTACCTACCTACCACCAGCCCATCACTTTTGGTTGTCTTGTCTGTTCTCATTGTGGAATGAAGGAGTCGGAGGTCAGCAAGGCTGAATGATCACCATCTGGATGCCGAAGCCTTGGGCTACCTGGGTTTGTATCTTGTCTCTGCTAGCTAGCCATCAAACTTTGGGCTAAGTTAAAATTCTTTCTGTGCCCCAGATTTCTTATTTACAAAATGGGGGTAATAATGGCAGGTAACTAACTCATAGAATTACTGCGAAGACTACATGAACTAAAATGTGTACAGAGTCACAGTGGTATCTGGCAGTTTTCTTGGTTGGCGCTAGGGCTTGGGATGAGTCAGCCTTCATTGAAAACTCATCCTAGAAATGTGGGATGTATTCAATCCCTACCATATGCTTCTTTCCACAAAACAGGTCACCAAAGTTTCAAGGGGAACTGCATAGCCATTGCTCAGTCACTTTGCAGGTGCTGACCAGTTTAACCTCACAAGACCTCAGCAACAGCAAAGGCTTTGCACACCGGGCACCTTCACAAACGTGAACAGAAAGCTTCTAGAACAAGCTAACCAGTTAACCAGTCTGTGGCCCGTTCCTGACGCGCTTTAAAAGCTATGCGATGGGAGTGGGGAGATGGTACAGCTCCCATTGCATAGCCTCCCAAACGTGAGAACCTGAGTTTGTATCCCCAGGACCCATGTAACAGTTAGGTGCAGCGGGGCACATTGGGAATGGGAGGCGGAGATGGGAGGATCCTGGAAGCCCACAGGGCAGGCCTGCGGCACACAATGGTCAGACTAATACAGAAACTCTTTAAACACTAGACAGGAAAGAGTTTACGAGGAATGGACAGCACTGGTCGTTTAAGCACGTAGACAGGAAGGAGAGAAAGAGGAATGGTCCTGGCCGTTCTAAAGCCACAGACGGACTCCCTTTTCCACTCTGCAAGAAGCAGCACCGCATCCTTTCCTTGACCTCTGCTTTTAGACTGCTCTTCCAAAATCCTAAACTTCTAATAACATCCTATAAAAATAAACCACAGGACAGCCCATTCCAGAGACTGGATTCCCTCCATCCCAGGCAACCTTTAAAGCAAAAGCAGGCAGTTAAAATAAAACTAAACAAATAAAATAGACATAAGTTCAAAAATTTTAAAAAGGTCTGGCTTAGCATCCCATGAGGTATGTGATTTTGTTAGTTTTTTTTATGTGAAACGCGACTTCATGCATTTTATTTGAATATTGAGATGCAATCATAAAGGCGACTGGAACATTTGTTATATGCTGGTATCCCTGAAAGCATGTGGCCCCCAAGTGTCCCCAGTACACTGGCTTGTTCTCATTATGTCCCCCCTTCTACCGCTCCCCCGGCAGCTTCCTCCTGCACTCTGCAGGGACTCTCTGAGGTCATCTTCTGGTCGGCCCCTCTTCCTCAGCTGCAGGGACAGAACTTCCAGAATGACTCTCACCCTGCACGAACAGGTCTCTGGCTGTCCTGGAACTCACTCTGTAGAGCAGGTTGGCTTCGAACTCAGAGATCCACTGCCTCTGCCTCCCGAGTGCTGGGATTACAGGCGTGCGTCACCATTCCCAGGCTTGAAATCTCACCTAATCTGTTTCTCCCTTTCCGCTTTAGACCCAATCCCTACCGATTCTACTCTGAAAGCTTCCCTCATCTGGTCTTGCTCTAGATTTCTATTGCCCCTACCCGATGCGGCCGTCTCCCGTGTCACCTGACTCCAACAGGCCTCCTACCAGCGGTCCACCTCCCCCTCCCGTTTCATCTTTCATTTCCCTGGTGCACATTTACCTCAACTGTGACTCTGTTCATGCCGTCATTTATGTTCAGTGGCTTCTGGCTGTCTAAACGCCCTGGATGAAAAAATTCTTCCCTGCTCCTCTGCATGACAGCAGTTTCAAGGCTCACCTGTATCCTACTCCTTAGCATGATAGATAGCAGTTTCAATGCTCACCTGGATCCGATTCCTCTGCATGATGGCAGTTTCAAGGCTCACCTGTATCCTATTCCTCTGCATGATGGCAGTTTCAAAGCTCACCTGTATCCTATTCCTCTGCATGATGGCAGTTTCAAGGCTCACCTGTATCCTATTCCTCTGCATGATGGCAGTTTCAAGGCTCACCTGTATCCTATTCCTCTGCATGATGGCAGTTT